TCCTAGCTTCTTACTATCCTATCTCAGTTTGACCCAAGTGCTAGTCTCAATTCCTCCACTAACCTGCCATGTGACTTGTGGCAACTTTCCCTGAGTAGGCCTCAGTCTCCTCCTCCGTAAATAACAGTGCAGGATCTCGTCTCTGCAACTGTCATCTACAACTCTACGAACACACAGGCAGACCTTCGTTTTATTGCTCTTTGCTTTATAGCTCTTCACAGGCATTTTATTTTTCACAACATGAAGGCAAAAATTATTACGACTTGTTTTATTGCAGTACTTGCTTTATTACGTTGTTCTGAAACAGAACCTACAATATCTTCAAGCTATGCCTATACTGGAGCTTTGTTCTCTGGATGTTCTGTGCTTAATGCTTTGCGTGAGTTAGATTATTTCATCTCCACAGTAAACCTCACAGGGCAAATGCTTTTATCATCCGCATTTTAAGTGAGCACGAAAGAGGCTGAGACATGAAGGGACTTGCCCAGCATTTTCAGCTCATAATGGTTGGTTGGAGTTAGAATGTGAACGTGAGTCATATGATTGCAGAGTGTTAGAATGTACTGAGACTTGGAGGACCTGAGCCACCGCCTGTGCTGAAACAAAGAGGGTATGCATCACCAGCTGTGTACCTGACCGTGAGGTTCCCTATTATCAGAGGCAACGAAGGCATAGCCACCGGCATCCCGCTGAAAGCTGGTTGAACCCCCACTGCCCCTTCCCCTTTCCCTCAAACATTCCCCAGAAACAAGGCCTATAAATCCGCCAGAATTCCTGCTGCCAAACAGTCATCTGTGACCAGAGGACATTGTTGTTTTGCAAATGCCTACACTCTGCACATCTGGAACAGACCAGCAAGATTACACACCCCCTGGGGGTCTGCTCTGCACCCTTAAAAACCCCTCTACCCCCTACCCCTGGTGCTGCAGTCTGTTCAGACTCAGCCTGCCTGATCGCAGTGCCTCCCCTCGAATAAAAGCCCTTAATTGGACTTTGCTGGCTTTAGGTCCTTTCTTAGCCACCTCAGCCACCTAATACAGAGTATGAACTGTTAGGATGGTCAGTGATGTGGGCTGTGAAAGAATTCACAAAGAAAAGAAATAAAATTGTAGAGAATAAAGTTTTTATTCACTCTCCAAGAAAGGAGAGGCGCATGGTGTGGAGAGATACACCAACAATGATGGGGGTGGGGGGGCTTGAGCTTTTATTGGATTATAATTGGATTTTAAAAGGGTGGGGGTTGCTGTTGTGTGAGCCCTGGGCTGCTGGGGCAACGAGGCTGCTGTTTGTTCCAATGTTATCCGCATGTGGCTGTAGGGAGCGGTTAGTCATGGTCTGTTCGTGCTTTCCAATAATTTCCAATAATTTGGGACATAAGCTCAGAAGAGTAAAATGGCAGTCATGTTTAGCAAGGTCACAGACCTGCTGGGCAAATGGTGCCACAATGGCAAATGGAGCTGATTTTATACTTCCATGAGCCATATAAACTATGTAATCTCCCCTCACCTATCTCCCCCATCTTCCCCATGGAAGCCTGCAGGGCTGTCACTAGAATTTCCCAAAAAGTTTTTAAATCATGCTGTGATGTTGTAATGTATAATGAGAAATACATTTTTTTGTCTTATTTTTATTATTTTTATTTTTTATTATTTTTTGGTCTTCTTATTTTTAGTCTTCTCCCCCCATTCCTGGCAGAGAGCCCCTCAAACCCTAGTACTTTCCTAAGAGTTAAGAATGATAGCTGTGTCTTTTGTTATGTTAATGAGCAGATTTGGACCTCACTTAAGGGTTGGGGCTGGTTCCCCTTGAGAGCCAATCATGTGATTGAAGAGCTGGAACTTTCAGTCCCACCCACTCACCTCACCCAACCACCAGGGAGGAGAGAGGGCCTGGGGGCTGAATCAACCACCAATGGCCAATGATTTAATCAATCCTGCCTTTATAATGGAGCCTTCATAAAAATCCGAAGGACAGGGTGCTGAGAGCTTCCCGGCTGGTGAACGTGTGGAGCCGTTGCGAGGCGCGCAAGCCTGGGGAGGGCATGGCATGGAAGCTCCGCCCCCTTTCCCGTACCTTGTCCTATGCATCTCTTCCATCTGGCTGTTCTTGAGTTATAGACTTTTATAATTAACTGGTAATCTAGTAACTAAAATGTTTTTCCAAGTTCCTGAAGCCACTCAAACAAATCCAAATAGGGAAAAGGTCATGGGAACCTCTGGCTGATGGCTCGTCCATCAGAAGCACAGGTAACAACCTGGACTTAAAACTGGTGCCTGAAGCACCAGGAGGTGGGTCCTTGGAACCCTCGATCGATAGCCAGTAGGTCAGAAGCACGGGTGACAACCTGGGTTTGCAATTGGTGTCTGAAGTGGGGGTGGGGAAGCAGTCTTGCGGGAACCCTTAACCTATGGAGTTTGGCGCTGTCTCGGGTACTGTGTCAGAACTGAGGTGAATTCTAGGCCACTCAGCTGGGTTCCTTGGAGAGATGGCTGCAGCAGGAAAAGTAGAAGGGGAGCCTGGAACACCTTACTGTGTCAGAAAGCAAGGAAGTGCTCAAAGAAGTTGGACTGGTGTTCAAAACACAGGAATTGGCTAGATGATGCTTTTTTGGCCAAATTCTGTGTGTGTGGCAGGGTTGGGGGGGGCAGGTGGAGGGGGTGGTGAGCTGACTAGAAAAAAATAATGATAATGCACCAGTGTGGGGTCAATGGACATGGCCCTTCCCCCTCCCATGACTGAAGGCTGATAAGGGGGCCCATGGCCAGGGGGACTATGTATTGTTTTGTAAATGGTTGTAACTTCCTCCTTATTACCTTTTGGGAGTGGCTTCTTGTCCTGTGACTGCTTCCTGACCTTTTCTTTGTACTTTATAAGAGTTATGAGTAGGACATGTGCCTACTTTGTCTGGGACCCCTTAAAAGAAGTCTCAAGACACAGGGCGTCGTGGTCCTGCTTCACTGACCTGCCACTGCCGGTGCTCAGTATAATGTGAGGAATAAAGGCAACGTCTATTCCACCCAGCCTTTGTGGATTTTTTGGCTTATTCGAACAGTCAAGATCCCTAGGCTTGACCTCCTGCATTACAACTACAGAACATATAATTTTTTAAAAATCCATAAATCCATAGTGATTCTCAAAAAGGGGGTTGGCGGGGAGCTCTTATTTACAGAGGCAATGTCAGTTAATAAAAGTGGATAACGGATGATAGTTAGCAAAAAGCATACTTTTGCAAACACTGATATAAATGATTAAGGCAAGAATAATGCTAAAATCACTGAGTGAAAGGTTGATGAACATAATTTCAACAAATCACTCCAGAAAGACTTTACTAATTACAAATGGAAGAAGTATGCCATTCATTGGCAAAACAGGGTACACATCATCTTTACAAAGTAACCAAGTTTCATTTATCTGTTAAAAATAAAACACAGGCCCAAAATGGGTTCACTTACACTAAGCCCCACATCACCAAACCAAGACTTAATTACAGTTTTGGTCTGTTCCAGAAATGTTAACTTAAAGCAGTAAATTGGAAATTACCTGGTCAGCACTAGTGAGGTAACCACCATGAAAGACCCCTGCCACCCCCTAAAGGAAAGAGACCTTGCCACAACCAATCCACTTTTGCTAATGTACCTTCTGTGTCCTCCTCCCTTCTGTCTGTCTTTCATTTTATACAGCTCTTCAGATCTTTCTGTCCGCTAGATAGGGTGCTGCTCAATTAATTAATCATTGAATAAAGCTATGAGCCCTGAGAAAGGAGACACCTACTAAGAAGGGCTCCTGGTGGCTACCTGGACTCAAATTTTTTAAAAAAGGGAGCCTAGCAGCCATTTCTATACAAGGGACTCTCACACAAACCGCACTTCAGATAGAAACCAGCACTAAACCACCTGCTTGCCTACGCTGTGTTTCTGCCATCTGAGCCACCTTATAAAGGAGTTCCTGGGATCCTATTTCAACCAATAGGACTGAGGCTTTCCCCTCCAATTGGAGCCGTGCAGCTCTAACAAACCAGAGCAGCTCTATTGTGAGTAATCAGGACAAATGCTTTTGGATCAATCACACTGTGAGGATTTGGAGTCCTCATTTGCATTAGGACTGATCAATCAGGGAGCAGGTGCAGGCACTTCTGTCTATATAAGCCAGCTCCCTGTAGCTCTGGATGTGCATGTTCCTTGTCCACTGAAGACTGCTTTCCCCTAGCTGAGTTGAAGCACTAAATATGATATATTGGAGCAGAGCTATCTAGCCATGGAGGGGTTTGACCCCATGGCTACCTCACAGGTGACACAAAATGGGGATTGCTATTGGCAATGAGTTGGTGCCAAGCACAGCTGGTTAACAAAACCAATAAGATCTTTAAAATATACTCAGTTGAACTTTGTTTTATTACATGGGCAGTTGGCATTTTCTCCCCCCTGCTGTGAGACAAGTACTGCATGTTACTCAAATGTCTTATGACAGAAATTCAACCTGACTAATCACCAAGCGGTGGGGGGGGGGGCGGGGGCGGGGGGGAGTGGAATCAAACAAATAAAGATTATGGCTATTCTATAAGCAATGGGCCTGGACTATAAAAATATATCAATCTCACAAAAGACAAAAAGATGGCCAGGGGAGGGAAAAGGGAGCGAAGAGGGCTGTTCTGGGTTTAGCAACAAACAAAAGGCAAGGTGCAACTCTGGACTGGATCCAGTAGAGGAGCATTTGAGACAATGGAGCAAACTGAATAAAAGAGTGTATATTGGATAATTTGCATCACTGTTAATTTCTCAGGTATCAAACTCGTATGAAGGTCATGTAAGATAAGGCCTTTGTTCTTAGGATACTTAAGTGTTTAAAACAGACGTTTTGCAGGTGTTTCAAAGTGGACAGCCAGAAAAGAGCATCCTCAAGCTCCCGACCCAAGATTCACGCGTGCGCACTGCTCGCTCCTTCTAGGCGCTCCGGGAGGATCAGACCGGGAGGTACAAGGCGGATATACGCAAAGGGGTTTCCGGTGATTGCAAAGTTCCTGCGACTAAAGCGGCAAAATGGAGGAGGCGCCTCACGGTGAGCGCACGGAAGGGGCGTGGGTGGCGGGGCTAAAAGGACAGGAGCCACTCTAACTGTGATTGTGTCTCTGCGCAGACTGTCCCGGAACCGGCAGCACCCAGGCGGGCAGAGGGGCCGCCTGTCAAGGGTGTCCCAACCAGCGGCTATGCGCTTCAGGAGCTGGCGCGGTTCCAGACCCGGGTGAGGAAGAGGCAAAGCCTGAATAGGAAGTGAAAGGCGCGTGCCCGGAAGAAGCAGAGCGTATGGGAAAACTTTGGCGGTGAACACGAAAGGGATCTGAAGAACGACAGGGGCGGGGCGTGGAGAAGTTGGCGGGGGTGAAGGGCAGGATTTGAGGAATAAGTGACGGGGGCGGGGCCTGAGGGGCAAGGCCTTTAGGCAAAGAAAGTCTCAGGATGGGGGTGGAGCCTAAGGATCAACGACTAGTTACGTCACGAGGTAAGAGGGGCGGGGCGTAGGAGAAAGTCCGCAGGTTGAGGGGTGCGGCCAGAGGTTTGAGTGACAGCAACTGACTAGCCTCGTCGAGCCCCCCCGCAGATGGAATATGGTATAAACTTTGAAGTCAGGGAGTTTGGGATCCATCTTTGCTCCAGCAGCTACTTTCTTTGGGCAGAATTTCATTTTTTTCTTTTTTTTATAGCTAACGTTTTAAAAAATATTTTATTTGTTTTTAAAGGGAGACAAAGAGGGAGAAAAACATCAGTGTGTGGTTGCCTCTCATTCGCCCCCTACTAGAGGCCTGGCCTGCAATACGGCCATGTTCCCTGACTGGGAGTCAAATCTGCAACCCTTTGGTTTGCAGGTGGGCACACAATCCACTGAGCCACACCAGGGCAGGACAGAATTTCTTTTGAGGAGGGATTCTTCCATTCATTCGTCAGAAATATGTATTAATCAGCTCCTAGGCACAGTGCTCTGTGCTGGAAATGTAACTGTGAAGGAGGTCGCAGTTGTAGCGGATGTTGGTTTAATAGGGGAGACCCACCATAAATAAGTAAGGAAGCAAATAAATTATCACAGCAATAAGTAATACGAGGGTCAAATTGGAAGGTGGGGAGGACTCTGGGAACCTACTAAAAGGAACTTGAAAAGCAGAAGGCTGCAAGAAGAATTTTGAAGGCATTCAGAGAGAGACTTGGGTTTGATTCTTGGGTCCCACAACTCGTATTGACCTTAAACAATAGTCTTAACCTTCCTGAGCCTCTGTTACATCATCAGTAATGGAGAGAAAAATAGTAACCTCACAGTGTTGTTTGAAGGATTTGAAATAAAGGTGAAAACAGTGAAAGCACAGCAAATGTCTAATAAGTGATAGTCATCAGTGACAGATACTTCTCAAGTGCCTGCTTTTTGTCAGGGTTTCTCACCTTGGGCACCATTGACATTTGGAGCTGGATAATTCGGTGTCGTGGGGGCTGTTCTGAGCAGTCATATGTCCAGCAGCATCCCTAGCCTCTGCTTGCTCTATACCAGGAGCACCCCTTCCTTGTGACAACTAAAAGTGTCCCCAGACATTGCCAAATGTCCCCTGGTGGGTTTTGCCCCCAGGGTGGGAATCATTACTACAGTCATACACTGAATAATGATATTTTGGTCAGTGGTAGACTGCATATATGGCAGTGGTCCCATGAGATTATTAAGGGAGCTGAAAAATTCCTATCGAAAAGCATTCCTCATAAGTTTATGGTGATGCTGGTGTAAACAAACCTGTGTGCTGCCAGTTGTATAAAAGCATAGCACATACAATTATGTACAGTATATGATAATAACCACATTACTGGTTTATATATTTATTACCGTATATTATACATATTATTCATAAAACAGTATTCTGTATTACACTGACAGTTGCCTCATACATCTCATGTTTATCCTTTGATTACATCATCTTTTGTGCCTGTTTTAGTCTTGTGCTGTATAGGCTTCTAACCTAGGAGCAATAGGCCATATCATATAGCCTAGGTATGTAGTAAGCTCTACCATCTAGGTTTGTGTACTCTGTGATGTTTGCAGGATGAAATTGCATAACAACACATTTCTCAGAATGTATCCCTGTCATTAATACATATGAGAGTATATATTCAAAGCTCTGATTTGGAGCCAGGAATAAAGTGGTGAACACTCTGGGACAGAGTCCCAACCTCATGAAGCTTAAATTCTAGTAAGGAATGACAAGTAAACCAATAAGTAAGAAAATGTCAGGTGTGGTAATAGCCTTGTTTTCTTTGTAGCTCTTATTACTACCATTGACTACATGGTATTTCAGACACGATCCTTAGAAACAGCCCTGTGGACTTAGCTCCTTCTAGTCCATTGGAATAGTCACATTCAGGATTTAGTTGGAGAATGTTGTCATCTGAATTGCTTTCTTTGCAGCCATGGGGGAAATCAAAGAGAAAATGAAGACCGTGAAACACAAAATCTTGGTGTTATCTGGGAAAGGCGGTGTTGGGAAAAGCACGTTCAGCGCCCACCTTGCTCACGCTCTAGCAGAGGATGAAAACACGCAGGTGAGACCTCAGGAAAAACTGGGAGGGACTCCTGTCTAAGAGTTCATGATGGCTTGTAGAGAACTGGTTCCTTAAACTAAGTTGAATTAGACTTTTTTAATTTAGCTCCCTGCAGAGAGAATGAGGAAACACATAGCAGTCAAGCAATGAAATGAAATATTTCATTGGATGCTCCAATTATGAAAATGAATAGCAGGTGTACATTTCTCTTGACATACTGGTTATTTAATACAATAAGCTCAGACTTCTTTTTCATTATTAATCCATTTCTGCCTTTTTCTAGGCCAGGGATCTACAAACTATAGCTCATAGCCAAGTCTAGCCCATCTCTTATCTTTTTATGGCCTGTGAGCTAAGAATGATTTTTATATTAATAAGTGGTTACTTTTATTTTATTGTTTACCTATTGTTTTTTGTTAATTTGGGTTTTTTTTTTAAAGATTTATTTATTTATTTTTAGAGCGAGGGGAAGGAAGGGAGGAAGAGAGGGAGAGAAACATCAATGTGTGGTTGCCTGTCGTGTGCCCCTTATTGGGGACCTGGCCTGCAACCTAGGCATGTGCCCTGACTAGGAATTGAACTGGCAACCCTTTGATTCGCAGGCCGGTGCTCAATCCACTGAGCCATACCAGCCATAGCTGTTTGTTTATTTTTAAATAGTTGTTTTTAAATTATTTTATAAGTGCCTACATAGTATTGTTTATTTTTCCCACAAAGCATAAAATTTTTTCTATTTAGTCCTTGAAGAAAACATTCGCTGACTTCAGTACTAGGCCGCTAACTTATACACAGGTATACAGATGAGCAGGAAAACTCAGGTTACCCAGTGCTGCTCTCTGGATTTCAGCCTTAATGAAAGGTATGATAGCGCCAGGAAGAACAAAATACTTTTTACCAAAAAGGTCCGATGGAAATGTGCAGAACCTGTGATTTTTAAAATACTTTGGGGTATTCATTTAGCACTCACTCATGGTGGTTTTGCATTGACTTTAGAAAATGATCCCAATATTCACTTTATCGTTTTATATCTAATAAAACCATGACTATTGTGGTTTTCAGGTTTTGTTTTTTTAATCACAGAACACATTCCACCTTTTTGTTGTTTCCCTACATATCAGAACTTCTAGAGCGGCGTGGGTGTCTCTTGGAACCCAGCTGCCCAACATACTGACCCCTTGAGTGAGAGACCTTGCTGAGGATTTGTGTATTGGCGCTGTGTGTGCTCTGGGTTAGAGAGCTTGCTAGTCACTCCATTTCAGTTGCCAACTCTGCCATTTTCTCCATCAGGACATGTTTTGGGGCCTACAAGAGTTCCATGTAACCCAGAAACAATTTTGTTTGTGTTGAAAGCCATTCCCTACCCTTTCATGGTCTTTGTGTGTGCCTTCTCTCATACCTTGTTTTATTTCTGAAAATTACTTTGCTCTTCTAACATTTTGAATATTGGAAGTAATTTTTATATATGAGAGCTAACATCCACTTCAGGTTTCTTACCAATTGACAAATGGTCCTTTACTTTTGTTGGACTTCTTGTTTTTTAAAGCAAGTTAGTGCTAGAAGGGACTGTAGAGTACATTTAATATTGAAATTTCAAAATTTTCACACATTGCCTCTTTTAAAATTCTAAAAGCTGAATAAATTTCAGTACGTTCTACTTCTGTGAAAACCATTCTACCTCAGTGTGCAATAACACCCTAAGGTCTTAATATGTTAAATACTTTATATCCTCCACAAAAACAAGACAAAAAAACAATAAAGGCAGCTATAGTGGGCAAGGGGAATCAAGCCCGCTACTCTCACATGCGCTTAACCACGCGCGCACACATACCCCCCACCCTGCCCCGAAACACCTCACCAGTATCCAAGAACTCCAGAAATACATTTTTTAAAATCATTTGATTACAAAATTACAATACAATTTGCTTCAGGAGTTGGCAAACTTTTTATGTAAGGAGCCAGATGGTAACTATTTTAGGCTTTGCAGGCCATACAGTTTCTGTAGCAGCTCTTCAGTTCTGCCCTTAAACATGAAGGCAGCCAGAGACAATCTGTAAACCACGAGCATGGCCGTGTCCTAATAAAACTTTATTGTTATTGAAATTTGAATGTCATATATTTTTATAACATGACATAGAAGTATTCTTTTGATTTTTATTTTCCCAACCCTCTAAAAATGTAATAGCTTGTGGGCTATACAAAAACTGGAGTTGGCCCTCCAGGTTGTAGTTTACCGGCCCCTGGTTTGGTTTGTAACAGCAGAAGCACCAGTGCTGGCTGAGAAAGAACATCTTTGCAGGATTGAAACCTTGGGAAGGCCACAGCCTTCGTGGAGCAGCAAAGTGGCTGGACTAGGTGATCTGTAAAGCTCAGTATTCATGTCACTCACTAGGGCTCTGAATTCTGTCTTATCCCTCATTTCTGTTCCAATCATTTTAGGATGAAGAGCTGCTATCACTGGCCTACATGGTGTTTGTGGGCTTCTCTAGAATCTCATATCTGCCATCCAAGGGTGCTCTAGGGATTTTTGGAAAGGAAGAAACTACTGGTGGTGGAGGACACCTGGGCTTGGAGAAGGTTGTGTCTGGACTGTGGTGGGGACTGATGAATGGGGTGGCTGAAGGGGAGGCAAATGCACGGAAGTGGGACCACCAGGGCAGACATGGAAAGGCAGGCAGCCTGGGGGGATTGCTCCAGTGAAGGGAGCCAGACCAGTGCTTTAGGAGCACCGCTGTGACACTCAGCCAAGTATGTGGTTGAATAATGTTAGAGGGTGATGGGAAGCCAGCCAGGAGGTGTTGCTCATGTCTCCATGAGAGGCCTCAAGGGTCTAAACTAGGGCAGTAGATAGAGCAAATTGCAGAGAACAAATGAGGGCAAAGAGGGAGACAGAAGAAGCAGAATCACCCAACTTTTGGAGAAGATAGAGGAGCCAGAACTCGAGTTGAGCATTTGGGGCGCAGTCTAGCATGGTGACCAAGAACACAGGCTCTAGGGTCACGCTACCCAGGTTCATAACCCAGCCCCACCCACAGCACTGCTGTCACCTTGGTAGGTTACCAGGCTCTTTCTCCCTTGGTTGTCTCATCAGTAAAATGGGACTCAGGCTGAATGGAATGATGCGTGTAAAGGTAAAGTGATTAACACAGTACCTGACATGTAGTAAGTGCTCAATAAATGTTCTTGATAGCAGTCATTATTGTTACTTTATTTCACTGCTGAAACCTGGAGGAGTGATGATATTTCTGCTTTAGTGATAATGAATTTGTAGCCTACTGAAACTAGAGTGAAACCTCAGACCATGTGCAAAATAAACCTGCTGATTCATTCTTCTCCTAATGAACAGTCACTTGCCATTTGAGGGCCAGATTTGTATTGGTCAGTTGGGAAGCCAAGAAATCTGTCTTCACAGATTGCCCAGATTTCCCAGAATCATTGTTGCTTTCAAAAGCTGTTGGGCATATTCTTCACAGCTCTGTGGAGATGGGCTTTCACCAGACTGGTTGCCAATAACCACTTGTGAATCAACAGCTGTTTACATATAATTATACTTCCATATGATTAAGTCCAGAAGTCCACACTGAACACATGCCTAGATTTGGGGGAATATTGAAGGAAGGCACACCATCCAATGTGGAAGGATGGCTAAATAAGATGAATTTCTTTATGCAGTGGTACTTTTAAAAAATGTCAGCACTCAGGAAAGTGTATTTTCCCCAGCAGACTTACTTGTAACTGAAAACATCACCGTCTCCAGAAGGTGCACAGTGGCGCTCAGTGTATCTTGTATATTACAGTCAAGTCGCACACATTCCTCCCTGCCCTAAATTCAGCATGATGGTGGGAAGCACCCGGTCCCTTTTCTGACTCTGGGAAAGACTGTTTACTTAAGGCAGGCAGGAGTCTGACAACTCATTTGCAAAGGGCCTTGCAGCAAGAGGCAGCAGAATTGGGAAACACTCCCGACCACTCACAGGCAGGCTGGGAAATGAGTTAAGTTGTGGTTAAGGAAGGCGGAGGAGCCCGCCCTGTGACATCAAAGAAGCACACACCATCTTTCCACTGCAGGTCACCAGCTTCCACAAATTACCACTTCATCTTGCCTGAAGATGAGCTCGGTCATTAAAAGATCCACACTAGGTGCTTCAGGACTACAGAGTTTTTAGGCCCATCTCTGGGGTTTGTAGACACTAAAGTTGGAAGGGTCCTAACAATCTCCTGAAACATTTGTTTTGTAGGTCAAAAGCTGAGACTGAGGGCTGGGGAGAGAGGAGCAATCTACGCACGGTGACAGCCTCAGATTGCTAAGAGTTAGGACTAGACCCCGCTTCCCATGGCCTCTTCTTAAGGTGAAGTTTGGATCCCGACAGCACTGCAGCACCCCGCGCCACCACCCTGTGTGGGAGAGATGTGTCAGGGCTTCCTCTTCTCGGGCGTCTAGCATTTTCCACAGAGGCCCTAGTGAGAATGAATGCAGGCACATGTCTCATCTAGGGTTCTCTGGCTTAACTTGAGAGAAAATGAATTAATTGGATGGATATGGGGGATAGTGACAGGATCAACAGGAAGTTTGGAAGGGACAGGACACAGGGTCACTGTGGAGATCTGGATAGCAGGAATGTGTCACAGCCTCTTTCGGTACCACCGCAGGAGTTCAAACGGTCTGTTTCTTGTGTCCATCCTTGTACCATTTCACTCACGATTCACTTTCTTGGTTGTGGGGAATTTAATGCCTCAAAAGGAAACTAATTAGATTGTTCCCAAAAGAACATGGAGACCAGGCTAGAAACCGAAGAGTATTGATGAAAGTCTCTGATAAGGTTGTAGTGATGGTATGATTTCTAAAATTGTGACGTAAAATGTCTATGGATCATTAATGCACAATAGTCCCCAATTACCAGAGATCAAGAAGGCCAAGAAAGTCAGGTTGTCAAGTTTGTGTCATTCTTTTGCACTCCTTGCTTAGTCCAGCAGAGAGCACGTGAGGTATCTGGCTGATCTGATGTATGAAAAGCTTTCCTGACCTGGGTCTGAGAGCATGTGAGGATGCGTGAGGTTGGGATCTGCTGAGAGGCTTGAAGAGGCAATCAAGAAGTGAATTTGGGGCAAGTTCAACAGTTAACCCCAAGATGCTATAGTTTGCATCCAAAACTTTCAAGCTTTATTAGAGCTTTGAGGATGAATACTAGCCAGCTCTTCAGGGACTTCCTGAAGGTCATTTCAGACTTCATTTATCACAGAGGGAAAGCAGGGTGTTTGGGGTGGAAAGAGTCATCCAAGGCTGCACTTACCACTAGCCAAAGAGGTTTTCTAGATTTCCTTCTTATTTTTCGTTTCTTTTCTGGAAGTTGAGCCTAAGCTATTAGTAACCTTTAGGATCACAGGAAAACAGGGTGTGGTCAGAGCTCAGCTTCTCACCAGGCCCCATCGCGTAGTGGAAAGAACCCTGGCGTTGGAGTCAGTAGGCCTTGATTTATGTCCCAGCTCTGCTTCTTGCTCATTGAACAAGTCATTGGGCCTCTCTGAAACATTAGTTTCCTCTTCTGTAAAACAGTTAATGATAACGCCCTACTGCGCCCCGCCCCCCCGCCCCCCAACACACACACACACACACACACACACACACACACACACACACACGATAAAAGCCAAGTAAACAGTGCCAGGACCTGATTTTCCAAGTAACCTGACACCCAGGTCCACAGGATCGCCCTGGAGCTAGGTCATGCTGGGGCCAGGACAGAAGGACTCACTGTGGACACACTGCCAAGTTCTCTTTCCGAGTCTTGGACTGTGTCTCCCTGGCTGAGAAGACAAATGTTGTAACTCTTCCTCATGAGGTTCTGCTTTATTGGGGGGCAGACATTTGCCCCAGTTTCTTTCTATATTCTCCCCTCCCTCCTTTTCCCAGAACCCTATTCCTCTCCGAACTGTGTGTATGTGGAGGATTGTATGTTCAGTCTCTTACTGTTCTGGTCTCTTCTTGTTCCCCAGGTTGCTCTTTTAGACATTGATATATGTGGGCCGTCAATTCCCAAGATAATGGGATTGGAAGGAGAACAGGTAAGAGCTATATTACAAAATGCGGTAAAGTGGTCTCTTACAGCAACCTAGAGTGTTAAACTATTCAACCTAAACATAGGGGTTAGCAGAGCCCATGCATTTTTACATGGACATGAGGAAACCAGGTCAATGTTTGCTAATCCATCTGTCTACTTGAACAACCGTGGGCTGAGGGGTGGGGAGAATTATATATAAAGTTCATCCAAACCATTCAAGAAGTAGGTTTTGATACCTTCTCAGAGAGGAAGGGAAACAGCAAGTGAAATGAAGAAGTAAGACACGGAAACTTAGCTCTTACTGGGAAAGCTAGACCAGGGTTGGCTAGGGGTTTGTACCCTGGAAATAAGGGAATATTTCTGCCCTGTGGTCACCTTTGGGGAACTGAGACTGTGAAGCAGGCAAGTGACATGGAGTAGGGTTAGAGGCAGGGCCACAGCAGCCTGTGCAGGTGCTAGTCTCTCCCTTCAGAGTAGCAAGAAGCAATCCAGGGAGGGGGCCCCCAGGGGTGGTGCATCAAATCTGGCTGGAGGGCTAGTCAGTTCCAGGAGTGTCAGGATTGGTTCATTCTTTACTTAAGTGCTGGCTCTCTTCTGGGTGCTGGGGTATAGTGGTGAGCAAGGCAGATAAAGACCCCGGCCCTCATGGGAAGGGACAGGTGATAGATAACAGAAAACTAAAGCAGGGTAAGGGGACAGATAGGATGGAGCAGGGCAGGAAGGGGAGCTGCTTTTGGGAGGGGGTGGTCCGCAGCATCGTGCTACAGAAAGCCTGGGAAGAGCCTTCTTGGCTGAGGGAAGTGCAGGAGCCCTGAGGCAGGAGAGTCCTCATTTCCTCCGCAAAGTCGCCTGTGGGGCGGGGACACAGGGAGCTGGAGAGTAGCCAGAGACAAATGGGGCCATTCCTGGTGGGCTGTGCCCTGGGGGTTGGGCTTTGGTTTTGAGGGTGCTGGGCAGGGTGCGACACCATGCAGGGTCGGGGTCCAGCAGCGGGATCAGATGTCTGTGACCGCATACCCTTGAGTAACAAGCTTTGTAGCACATGCCCACAGTGTGGGTGTACACTTACTGTATTTACTTATAAGTTATATACATATACAATTTACAGTACAAAAGTATGTTATGAAAATGGAAATTTTTAAATAGTGAAATGAAATAGAATCTCGACTGTTTTTCTTTTTCTCCTACATTATCGGGTCATCATGTTTGCCCCTCCCTAAATACCAGAGACTTAGAGAACAAGGATAAGTAGGAATGGGTGGATTTTTAAGAAGTGAGACCTCAGAGCCAGAACCAAATTATGTGATTGCATTTCTATGAGATGTCTGAAATAGGCACATGTGTAGAGACAGCCTACCCATGGTCATCTGGTTCTGGAGGGAAGTGTAGGGATTGGGGATGGCAGTGAAGAGGTACAAGGTATCTTGGAGTAATGAAAATGTTCTAAAATTGATTGTGGTGGAGGATGTACAATTGTGTGACTGTCCCGAAAGCCATTAAATTTTACACTTTAAATAGGTGCATTGTATGGTATGTGAATTGTATCTCAGTAGAGCTGTTTTAAAATGTAAAACTTGGTTAAGAAAAACAGACTTTCTGTTTTGGCTCCTGTGTTGCTCTAATTTCTAAGACTGACATATAATTGGGAGTTGCCTAAGTTCTAGCCTTATAACAGAGGTGATGCAAAGTTGAACCTTGGCTATGGATGAATACCTCTGAAGGGGAGTCTGACTCTTGAAGTAGCCTCCATGAGCTCCTCATTGACATACTTTCTCCCAGTTCTTGCTCCCTGGGGAGTGTAGGCCAGAGCTGAAGCTCAGGCCACTGACAGGGCAGGTACTATGTCACCTGGCTCACAGAAGATTCTTTCTTCACTCACAGACTTTTATAGGCAACCTCTCTGCACCACAGTTACCTGCATTTTCTCATTATCCCCACAACCAGTTTGTCATTCTTTGAAAATACCTCAGACTCCAAATTATATTTGAACTTGGGTAACTTTGGTTCCCTGACTATATGTCTAAGCAGAGTTTCAAGATATCCCAATTTAATAGGGAAAAAGGCTATTTTTTAAGTATATTTTATTGATCATGTTATTACAGTTGTCCCATTTTTTTTTCTCCCCTTTATCTCTCTCCACCCTATATCCACCTCCCTCCAGTATTCCCACCCCCCTTAGTTCATGTCCATGGGTCGTACATATAAGTTCTTTGGCTTCCTTACTTTCTATACTATTTTTAACCTCCCCCGTCTATTTTGTGCCTACCAATTATGCTTCTCATTCCCTGTACCTTTTCCCCTATTCTCCCTCCTCCCCCTCCCCACTGATAACCCTCCATGTGATCTCCATTCCTGTGATTTCCCATTCTAGTTGTTTCCTTAGTATGGTTTTGCTTTTGTTTTTTAGGTTCAGTTGATGCTAGTTGTGAGTGTCATTTTTCTCTTCATAGTTTTGATCTTCTTTTTCTTAGATAAATCCCTTTAACATGTCGTATAATAAGGGCTTGGTGACAATGAACTCCTTTAGCTTTACCTTATCTGGGAAGCACTTTATTTGCCCTTCCATTCTAAATGATGGCTTTGCTGGATAGAGTAATCATGGATGTAGGTCCTTGACTTTCATGACTTTGAATACTTCTTGCTAGCCCCTTCTTGCCTGTAAGGTTTCTTTTGAGGAATCAGCTGATACTCTTCTGGGAACTCCTTGGTAGGTAACTCTCCTTTTGTCTTGTTGCTTTTAGGATTCTCTCCTTATCTTTAATCTTAGGTAATTTAATTTTGAGTTTTGGTGTGTTTCTCCTAGGGTCCAGCTTCTTTGAGACTCTGAGCTTCCTGGACTTGCCTGTCTGTTTCCTTCTCCATATTGGGAAAGTTTTCCTTCATTAATTTTTCATATAAGTTTTCAGTTTCTTGCTCTTCCTCTTCTCCTTCTGGCACCCCTATGATTCCAATGTTAGAACGTTTAAAGTTGTCCCAGAGGTTCCTAAGCCTCTCCTCATTTTTTTTGAATTCTTCTTTCTTCATCCTGTTCTGGTTGAATGTTTATTTCTTCCTTTTGTTCTAAACCATTGATTTGAGCCCCAGTTTCCTTCACTTCACTGTTGGTTTCCTGTATATTTTCCTTTATTTCACTTTGTATGGCCTTCACTTCTTCCTTTACTTTTCATCTGTATCCAGTCATTTTTCTGAGCATCCTGATTACCAGTTTTTTGAACTGTGCATCTGATAGGTTAGCTATCTCCTTGTCACTTAGTTCTTTTTCTGAAATTTTGATCTGTTCCTTCATTTGGGCCATATTTCTTTGTCTTGGCACATCAGTCTGGATGAATATTTCTTCTTTAATTCCTTGGTTGTTGGACTTACATGCAATTCAATTTTCTGGCAGTTCTGGGCTTTTTTTGTTTTTAAATTGGTTGTTGTCCTTCTTTTGGTTGTACAAGGAAGCAAAGCATATCTACCTTTGCCTCCAACTTGGCCAGAAGTCCCAGGGTATTTAATTATAGTTTTCATTCACCCTCATTCCCCAAGCTGTTCACTGCCTATTAAGAATTTAGTAGTAGTATTTTTAGACAAATTGTGTTTTATAAAACTGTCTTCTTACTGCATAAAATTTGTCTGTGCATGAGGTATGACCAGGGTGCAGAATTTATAAATGAACCTCGATGCCCATGTTCACACAGGTTCACCAGAGTGGCTCTGGCTGGTCTCCAGTGGTGAGTTTTCACCTCTTTGCCTTATTTTCAAGGTAGTAAATTATGGGTCATGTGTGCGTAATGGGTATGTGGTGGGTTGACAACATTCCTCTCAATGCACCTGTTTATTAGTCAACACATATTTACTGAGGCACTTTTCTAGGCACAGGAACTACATTTACAACCAGGGATTGGCAAACCGTTTCTGTAAAAGGTCAGGCAATAAATATTTTCAGTTTGTGAGCCATGCACTCTCCATTATTGCAGGTCAAAAGTAGTGATATGTAAATGAGTGACTGTGGCTGGATTCCAGTAAAACTTTATGTACAAAAACAGATGGTGGGCCAGATTTGGCCCGGGGGCTATAGTTTGCCCCGCCAGGTTCCACCAGTTGAGGACATGATGCTCATTTATTTTAGCCAAGTTGACTGTCATTGCAGCCGAGGGCCATACGATATCTCTTTCTATCCCCACAATGTGGTAACTTTCTTTGTTTTCAAAAATGAGTTGAAGATTCAAAGTGTGAATATACTCATAGGTCACACATTAATATCGTCCCCAAAATGTTTTTTTCCCAGCCAGAAAACACATAGGGAAGTGCCTTGTTCTGTGGCTTTAAGTAAAATGTTTCTTGCCTCATCCTCTCCAGTTCCTGGAAGACAACCTGGGGGTGATGTCGGTGGGTTTCTTGCTCAGCAGTCCTGATGATGCTGTTATCTGGAGAGGACCAAAGAAAAATGGTTTGCCACTCTGTTTTCTGTCTTTTATTGCTTTCTTCCAAGGGCAGAACTGCACGGGGTCCCCTTTGCCTCCCGTCCTGTCAGGAGCAACAGTCATCCTGCTGGGCTCCGTAGGGCAGGATTTTTAAGCATCCAGTTGCCTCTTTCTTCACTGGTTGAGGGCAGCTAATAGAAATAATCAGTTTTTGTTTTACAGATTTTTAATTCTTCTATGGGTTTATTCTCCTCAAAGCCTATATAGCCCTGAAATTACTTGTATTGTGGTTTTGTAGTGGCTCATTTGTGTCAAAGAGAGAAGTGTGTGAGGTGAAATCGATACCAGATTGATTGGGCACTGAGGCTTAGGGTGACAATACAAAAGTCATTTAGGGCAAGATTCCTCAAACTCAGCACGGTGGACATTTGAGGCCAGATAATTCTTTGTTAGGAGCGGGGTGGACTGGGCTCTACACCACAGATGTTGGGGGCACTCCTGTGTGCTGGATGCCAGTAGTACCCCTCCCTCATCACAGCAACCAGAAATGCCTCCAGACGTTGCCAGATACCACTGATTTCAAGTATAGACCAAATCTAGAGGTACATGAAGATCACAAACTATGTTTCTGTAAAGAGTCCTAAGTACAGTAAAGGGAAAAGAGAAATCTGGCATCAGTGCAGATTCCTCCTTTCAGGCATGATCAAGCAGTTCCTCCGCGATGTGGACTGGGGAGAGGTTGACTACCTCATCGTGGACACCCCGCCCGGGACTTCGGACGAACACCTCTCTGTCATCCAGTACCTGGCCGCAGCACACATCGATGGGGCGGTGATAATCACCACCCCTCAGGTGAACTAGTGCTGGGAGGGAGCTGGGTCCAAACCACACTGCCTAGAAAGCTCTCTTCCTCAAAGACCCCGAGACCCTGGTCTCCAAATGTCTCTTTAAAACAAGCAGACCCTGATATATATCTGCAGAAACCTCGTTTACCTTTGGTCCAGGCACTTTCCATTGACAAATAAGCATTCCACAATTGGATCTTTTGGTCCAGTAGTGGTTCAGAGTTGCATTTTAATATTCCCGCACAAAGACAACGAGGCTGTTGGTGCTGTTATAATTTGGATTTCCCTCATGGTCACTCATGCCTCAGGTCCCCACAATCTGTAGGGCCTCTTTACATTTCAGAACAATTCAGGAACTCTCCCCAGTTTTCCACAATACTAGCCTGGGGCATCGATGGGGATTTCTGGGTAGGCTGCTGTGGTCCTTGCTTCTTCTTTGGTCCTTGCCAGCTCCTTCTGTCCTGGTCACATAGAGGCTGTGCTGAACCTAAACCGAGTAAACCCAGCAGGCAATAAAAGGTGTCAGGTCTATGTTGTGCTTTATTATTATTGCCATTGATCTTAAGGGGTCTCAAGAAACCAACAGATAATTCTCTTCAGTGATACTTCTCTTCACAATATTCTCCTCCACTCCTGAGAAAGCATAATAAGGAGGGTATATCTTAGTTTGCCTCTAATCAGTCAGTATGGCCCCTCATCCTTTGCCAAGCCCTCCCTGAGCATTTACTGTGTTCAGGCTCTGGGCCAGGTACCAGGGCAGTAAAACAGACTGGTCCTCCCTCCTGGCCCATGCAGTTTACTGAGGAACGTGGCACAGTGGGCCGCGTGAAGGCACTGGGTCAGGGAGGGATGTGACAGGCGGGAGTCGGGCTGGTCAGAGCGCTCTGGGGCCCTGTGGAAAGATGTTTGGGGCATGTGGAGGAGCAAGACACTGCTTAGGTAGCTAGAGACCGGTGGCGGGTGGTGAGAAGATGGACTTGTCCTTAGGAGTGTTTTCTGTTGAATTTTTGAAAAGTAATTTCCCTGGGACCTAGCAAGGGTCCCAGTGAAATTGCTTAAAAGGAAAACAGTATGGCTGGAATGTACCACTCGGGATGTAGAGGCAAGGGGCCTATGCGAAGTCTCTGCACTTTCCGATCAGTTTTGCTATGAGCATAAAGCTACTCTAAAAGTATTAAAAAACAACAAAACTCTAGTTGGCACAAAGATGGTTTCTCCAATATAACAGTTATTAATGGAAACAAGGAGTCCCCCTAGGGTTCAAAAAGAGGAGACAGACAGAGCAGATACCAGCCCTTCCTCAGAAAGCCATGGGGGCACACTCCACGTGAGTGTGCCATTTGTATAGAACTTCTCTGGGAAATGTGACTTAAGGCTAGGGACCCCCACTTCCCCAGAGCCCTTCACATCCGGCACCTGACCCAAGAAACAGTGCGCACTTTGGCTCCGTGTAGTCCACTGAGGAGAAAGTAGACACTGAGATATGTTAAAAGGTCACTTTTCTGTAGACTCATTGTACATTTGATATTTGGGGTTTTGGGGAAATGAATACTGCCTGGACTGAGTGCTTGGTCTGCAAACCAAAGGGTCACCAAGTCAGGACACATGCCTGGGTTGCAGGCCAGGTTCCTGATTTGGGGCACATGAGAGGCAACCACACATTGATGCTTCTCTTCCCTCTTTCTCCCTCCCTTCCCCTCTGTCTAAAAATAAATTTCAAAAATCTTTTAAAAAATTGGTCATTGATTATATGGCACATCTCTCTGAGGATTTATGATGGTAATCCACAGCATTGCAACCATCCCTTGAACACACACACACATTCTCTTTCTTGTGCTTTGACCTTGAAACAGCTGGTCTTTTGAATTTGATAGGAGATGTCCCTCCAGGATGTCCGGAAAGAAATCAACTTCTGTCACAAGGTGAAGCTGCCCATCATCGGGGTGGTGGAGAACATGAGCGGCTTCATCTGCCCTAAGTGTAAGGTGAGCCTGCTGGCTGCCCCATCCCCTTTTCTGTGGTCGAGGAAATAATAGGAGTCGGTCTCTGTGAAACTGGTTCTGCTTTCTCCATTGTTTCCAGAGGTGGGATCACAGTTAAAATTCTCCATTGCTGATTTAATGATAATTCTTTTGGTAGTGTTTCACATTCAAAATAGATGTTTTTGAAAAGTTTCTTTAAAATGTGGTCCAGTGTTATGATTCTGAAACAAAGTTCTGATTCTTCCCCCCATTTAATTTGCCTGACAGAAAGAGTCTCAGATATTCCCGCCAACAACTGGGGGTGCCGAGGCCATGTGCCAAGATCTGAAGATACCTCTCCTTGGCAAAGTGCCTCTGGACCCACACATAGGTGGGTGAGTCTAAACGCCCCAATTTGGTCGCGGTGTGGGCCTTCACACTTTGGGACATTAGCCCCAGAACCGTCCCTCCAGGAGCTTGCCCTCCAGCAGAGAGAAGCTGTGAGACACACAGGCAGGTAGCCAAGGGAGCAGGCAGACCTCAGGGAGGAGGGGCAGTAGAGTTGGGGCTGGAAAAGCAGAGCAGAGATTGGTCAGGGAGATGCCGGGGTGCAGGGAAGGCACTAGGAAAGAAGCAAAGTGATTTGTAGGGGACTGTTCTGGGGCCTGTACTTCCCATACCTAGTCCTCCTGCTGTGAACTCGGGGGCTTCCTGAGTTGTCTTCACCACATTCCCGCGGTAGCCCCACCGCTACCATCCTCCTCTCACCCTGGGCTCCTTCCCTCCCTTGGGCTTCCTTCTTCCATGGGACAGTGCATTAGGGGAGTTGAGGAAGTGGCAGTTCCACAGTGGGCCTCACCAGGTGCACCAAAGGTTGAGAGCAGCTGAGGGCCGTGGGGCCATAGCTCCTGCTTCTCCAGCAGTGCTCAGCATCTGGGGAGCAGGGCAGAGAGGCTGACTGCAGGGGCCCTCTCAGGGCTGGGGATGAGCAGAGCAGATGGAGGAGGGGAGAATCCCACATGGCTGCTGCGCAGGCCCCTGCATCTTGGTCACCCGGATGCTGGGTTGACGTGGTCTGAAGGACAACCTGCGTGTCCATAGGAGGGCACTGGAGTGGACAGTTTTGTGAAAGATGAGTAGATGGATTGATACTAATGCGGAATGACCCCCAAGGTAAAATTATACATGGAAAAAGGAATGGGCAGAATATGTGTATTTTATATTCCCATTCATTCCATGTTTTGTTTTGTTTTTTTAAGTATATGGGTGTGTATGTGCATATATAGGCCATACTGATACATACATGTTATTTTTAGGAAGACACCTGAAACACCGGTAGTCTCTTGGACTCACCTTTTATGGTATAACATTTTGTATTCCATACTTTTTTACCGTGTGCATTCATTGTCTTTTTACTCAAAAGAACTAATTTTTTTAAAATGCAGGCTCCCAGGCCCACCCAGGAGCTGCTGTGAATCTGTTCTTTTGGGGGGCCTGGAACCTGCATTTGCCATACACCACCCAGATGCTATGTAGGCGCACACACTATACACCATTGGCCGGGTGAGGGTCAGAGCCGTGTTGAAATGCTAGCCAGGGTCCCTGCTGGATGGAGGGGAGGTGGGTGAGGTCCTTTGAGATCCCTGACATTCTTTCTGGGCTTTTTTCTTCATCTTCATCATGAATATGGTAGGTTCAAGATCTTCTTAATGTCACAGGTGCTGAAAGAGCCGGAAGGTCATATTGCTACTTTGTTTTCTTTAGGGATGTAATTTTCTTTCATTTGTTTCTTTAAGGTAAGAGTTGTGACGAAGGACGGTCTTTTTTGATTGATGTGCCGGATTCACCAGCCACATTAGCCTACAGAACCATCATTCAAAGTGAGTGTTTATGTGAGTCTTGTGAATCCAGATGGCAGTGGAGCCAGGAAGCAACATAAATGAGCAAAGTGGGCTGGGAGTGCGAAGATCCACGTAGGATCGTAGATGGTCACTGCCACATGACACCAGGGACAGTGGTTCTGGGATGACCTGAGAGTGTCTCCCTCAGCCCAGGAAGCCAGGAGTCGATGAGAAATCTTTCAGTACATCAATACTGTGAACTAAGTCATAGTTTAAAAGACACAGGGAGGATGATTTTTATGGCATAGGAAATATATCTAAATAAAGCTGTAGAAAGAAAATTAAGGGAAAAAAACCATGAAACCAGCCTGTAAAAAAATCAGCCTAGTGAGCCGAACCAAACCCATGTGCAGGCCTCATTCTGCCGCACGTATGTCAGAGGTGTCAGTACTACGGCCCAGAGGCTTGGTTTGTGTGGGTTCTTTTTGCCTAGTAAAATGGCTTTGGGGTAAACGTCATTCCTAGGCTTCTTGATCTGTAGAATGGACAAAGGAAAGGCCTCCAGCTGGTGCTTATAAGCACGGATGGGCAGTGCATGGTATTCAGGTCACTTTGGAGGTTCAGGGCATCAACAGAAATGGGGCTTTTTAGGGAGTGAAGCCATCTGGGGATTCCCTCCCCAAACCAGAACAGGGCAGGGCTGGCGGGGGGACTGAGGAGCCATCACTGCTTCTTTGCCTGCCGTCTTGTCTTCCAGGAATCCAAGAGTTCTGTAGTCTCCAGCAGCCAGAGGAGAGAGCCTCATTAGTTCCTGAAACACAGAGGGACATTATGGACACGAGCAGCACAGCCAGCATGTCCTGACCAGCTGGGGCGGAGTGGGGCCACCGGCAGAGGGACCAGGCTCTGGTGTGCTGTGAAGTCACGTTTGCAGAGACACTTTAATCATCTAATGTTTGTACAGTTTTCTTCAGAACATATATAAAGGGCATTCTTTACAGATATGCCATTTAAAAAATAAAAACATCTCTTCAAACCTTTCCCAAGGCCTGCGTCACTGAAAAACCAACAACTTGCAGGTCGTGGAGTTCTTCTCTGCTGGAAGCTTGTTTGATTATAGACCCGCTCACTTCAGCTGCTGTCGCCTCTGAAGATAAGCCTGAAAAGAAAACAGAGATGATGTGTGGCTTCAGTGCAAAATACACAGTCATGGTTTCAAATAGCATAGTTCACAGTTATTCTTCAGACTGAGGAAAAATTAGAATATCAATTGAGCCTCAAGCTAAGGCTTGACCTGAGGGTAAGCATATGATGCAGCTGAGGTAGGCAAAACGCCTGTGAGAAGCCCTAGTCACCCGCATACACAGAATTGGGGGTCTGTGTCTACCCTGTGTAGTCATGTTACACTGTATTCAGCAGTTTCTTTTGTCATACAAGACGTTTCATAGGGTTTTTATCAGTTACATAAAAAGGAAAGACAGGTGTGAACTCTAGAATTATCTACATTGCCGTGAGATGTTCACTGTTTGCATGACAGATGCCCAGGAACTGAGACAGCTGAAGGAAGAGTAAATTCCTCTTTTCCATCTTACTCTGGACATAAGGGCAGGCAAACCCCCTTGTCCTTTCCCTCCCATTCTCGAATCCCCCCAACCACCACCACCACTCCCCTTCATGCCTGCACGTGGTCAAATTTACACAAGTCCAATGTGAGGGAGGTGGGACTCTGGTCAAGGGCGATGAAGTCACAAAGCCCTGGGAATGCCCAATGCCCAGGCTGGTCCCCGACTGGCTATGCAGCTGGCCGTGCACCTAGCCCTCAGGGCACTGAGGGAAGCCCATCCAGGCCACAGGCACAGCCAAGCCCAGGGGAGCTGCGCTTCTCACAAGCCCCCAGCCCTGCACCGGCCAGACCCCTGCCTTGATCCCGCCTCTCACCTAGCACTTGTGGATCTCCAGCCCCTCGAGGCCAGGCTTCTGAAAGTCACTTGGGCAGGCCTGCAAGCGGAAAGTCAACCATGGTTTTCAGGGCCTGGCCTGATTCTGATTCTATAGCTTAATTCTATAGCTTTTAAAATCACTTAAAATTAACAGCGATAGTCACAGAAGGATAAATACTGTATGATTCCACTTAAGTGAGGTCCCTGGAGTCGTCAGAGTCATAGGCACAGAAAAGAGAATGTTGGTTTCCAGGGGCTGGGGGTTGGAGCACAGGGGGGTGCTGTTTAATGAGTACAGAGTTTCAGTATGGGAAGATGGAAGAGTTCTGGATGGCAATAGATGGTTGCACGATGTAAATGTACTAGATGACACTGAACCATACACTTAAAATACCTAAAATATAAATTTTATGTTATGTATATTTTAATACAATTTTAAAAACTAACAGTGGCAGCCTGGCTGATAAGGAAAACATTAAAAACTGCAGTTGCCAACAGGCCTCTTTCACTTGAGCTTCTGGAGAGCAGGGGTCCAGGAGTCAGATTTCAGTAACTCACCGTCTGGAACACCGTCTGGGACAGAAAACCGGCTGTGACTTTGCTGATGTCACTCTCGCCTCCCATCTTACAAAGGATGTAGCCATATAGGTTAGCGGCCTGGAGAGAAATCCCAGCTATCACAAGGGCCTGCGCTCAGACAAAGCAAAGGAAAGTTTTCTGAGCATATGCTGAAATGTTCCTATCAAACCAAGCAGCGGGGGCTCTGGCCTACACCTAGAGTAACAGCCAACCTTTACTGAACACTTACAAATACTCATGGACACCTTTCAGTGATCAACAACCTAAGCAGTTGGTGCCATTATCATCCCAGAGAAGCTAAAGTTGCCTGAAGTCCAAGAGCTAATGCCAAGTGGTCAAGCCAGGATCCAAACTCCAGAGCCCACACCTTCAATCATGCTGTTGGTTATACCATCTGTGGATATTTTGTTTTCTCAATGAATGAAGACAGTCATGGCAACAAAATAACTCTGAAGTAAAGCCTCAGAACTCTGAGGCCAATTTATTTTCTACCTAGGAAGGGCTCTCTGTCCAAGGTAGGATGTCATATGCTTTTTCTAAAAACTCCTCTCTTAGCAGCATTATTTGTATGTGCCATAGATGGAAACAACCACAATGTCCATCAATGGATGAAGGGATAAATAACATGTGGTCTGTCCATACAATGGAATATTATTCGGCCATGAAAAGGAAAGAAGTATTGATACGTGCTACAACGGATGAACCTTGAAAATACTATATTAAGTGAAAGAAGTCAGTCACAAAAGACTGCATATTGCAGGACTCCACTTACAGGAAATGTCCAGAATGAGCAAACTTACAGAAACAGAAAGATGAGTGGGCATCGGGCTAGGTGGACAGGGGCAAAGGGGAAGTGGTGATGGCTGAAGGGTACAGGGTGTCTTTTGGAGGTGATGAAAATATCCCAAAGTTGATTGTAGGGATGGTTGCACAACCGAATAGACTAGAAGCTATTGAATCATACATGTTAAATGGGTGCATTGTACAGTATGTGAATTATCTCAAAACAGCTGTTTCAATAAATCTATCACTAACAACTAACAATCCACTCCTGTGGCCCCTAGTTCTGTACAGATATCAAAGCAACGTCAGAGTCAAGGGTTGTCTTACCAGCCACTTTAGCTTCAAGGAAAATAAGGTGCTAAAAAAGAACACAATCCAAATCATCGGGCAAATAATGAGGCCAAGCCAGAAGATTCGGGCTTCAGCTTCTGTAGCAGCAATATTATTTGGAGAGACCTGTTGTGGGAAAGTGATCCATGCTATCATTTTCATTTATTTAACATGCGTGTGCTTCTGTTTGGCACCAGCAGCAGTGGGCTTTGTGCGGGGTGGACGTCAGATCTGCACAAAGCCCAGACGGAATCCACAGAAACTTTCCACAGCCTTTTCCCCCATTCTGGTCTGACACATCATGGAGAATACCTTTCTGGCTTCAAAAATCCAGTGGCTTTTCCCGTCTTCATCTATCTGGTTCCACCAGCGGAGGCCCACCATGAGCCTTCCAGTTACATTCTGGAAGAAAATGGACAAAATGATTCTAAGCATGTCATGGGTAAAAAGAAGATCCTCACCTGTTTATTGGTGAATAAAATAAAAGTCGCCAGTTCAGTCAGGTTAAACTTGTACTGGGAGCAAAGAAGAGGGGAATTGAACTGTGGTAGTTTCAATCATTTTGCAAGGCTTCTAATTTTTCATTAAGTTTACCTTAAAAAGGGACAGACTCTCAAAATATATATATATTCATATTATATAGAGCATTTAAATATTTATATATTATGTGTAAATTTTATTAAAAATCCAAAATCATATGGAGTTGCCATCCTCACATGGTTCATATTTGTAACCATGACAACTGATACCCTGAAGCCATTCATGTAACACTAAACAATATATTTTTTCCTTTAATTTTAAGTGATCCTGGCTCAGTATTCTTAAGTATAAGCAGTTTCAACCAGAGTACCTCTTGGCTCCAATCAGCCACATGCATCGGGACAGTCCCCATCTAGAAACACAGCCCACTTGATTCAGGAGCAACAGCATCACAGGTGAGGGGACTTACCTTCACAGACCAGAAGTCAAAGGACAGAAGGAGGAGCACAGTGACAAAACAGCCCACAAAGCTTCTGCTGAACCAATCACAGCACACGTAGGTGACGATGGCACTCACTCGGAAAAACAGGTGGAAAAAGGTGGCCAAGGGGTGCCTAGGAGACAACCCAGAAGGCCCTCTCACTCCAAGGGCCAAAAGGGCAGTCACTTTTTGACTTTCCAAGTTCTCCCTAGTGCATTGCAAGCCAAATTCAACCAGGCTGCAGCTCCAAGGACAGACACATCACTAAATTCGGTCTGCAACAGTCATTGTTACACTAGCTTGTTTTTTTTCTCCCACTCAAAGAATCCCGTACTTTCCCCTAATTTTATTCCAAATATTACTTGCCCTCTTTGAAGCTGGGTCACATTTGAAGTGAAATGTGAGCCATCACTCATTGCCTTCCCACCTAACAGTGATAGTCATCAGTTCCCTAAAGGTAAAGGTTGGGTTATTACCCACTAACGGAGCAGTGAGGCCACGTGCAGCCCATGGGTGCTGTCCCGTGTCATCGGGGAATGCATATTCCTGGAGAGAGGGAAATGAGAATGATGTGTCAATGACCTGTCTAACTCGCAGTTACTCGTAATGAGTGGTACCTGAATGATGAAATTTAGTCTAGGGAAGCTGGCTTTTGTCACTGGGCCTGTAGGCACAAAAGAAGGGACAGAACCATGTGTTCATCCTACATCCAGTGCTTTAAAGAATGAGCCTGAAAGATGAGAGCCCGAAGGGTAATCAATAACAAGGGATATCCATTTCTCTGGAGCAGACAGATGACACATGCCTTAGGGGTCGGGCAGGTGACAGCCATGGGTGACATGGGCCAGGTAAAGACACTCATGGATTTCTATTTCTTTGTTAGGAATCCACTTTTGATAGAGCACAGGTAGAAAAAAACACTCAACTGAGATCAAGAAAGCAGCAGTGCAAGCCCAATGATGATGGCAATTAAAGCGCCACTCCATGGCTAAGGAGGGAAGGGAGGGGAGGGGAGGGAGGAGCGGACTTCCCTCCAGGGCAGGCAACTCTACTCTGCCAGCCTGCCCTAGTCCTGCCAAATCCAGTATTTCACAAAAAGCTAGAAATCCAGACTTGTGACAGCAAATAGGATTTTTAAGTGATGGCTACTTATTATGTTAAGAAAATAATGCAGGTTCTGTATCGCCCTGACCTGCGAGCTACCAGCTCGCAACCTCTAGGGTGATCAAAGAGACAGCCAGCACACCTGCAGGCGGATGAGTCCGCTAGGTCTTCCCCCAAAGAAGTGTGGTCAGGACAAGCAGACTAGAGGCTCCTAGGAATCGAATGGTTTCAAACTCCCAAGGGAATGTGAACTCAGATTCAGAGGTGGAATTTACAGTGACTTTTGTGTGTGCTCCTGATGTTCCAAAGGAAGAACAGGCCTATGGCCAAACACCAGCCGTGTGCCGGAATGCTTCTCATCTGTGCCTTTCAAAGGCTGAGCTCTCCTGTCAGCTTGGACAAAAAGCCAACCTGGGAAAAGTGCCCAGCATTTAAGAATTAGATGTGATCGCATAAAACCCAAATCTGGACTGTTCCAGAAGATGAGACTCATACTCTTTTTGCCTTAAATCTTATTGAGGATTTTCAACAAACTGTCTCAATATAATTTTACCCTTTCACGCTGAAGAGAAATGAAGAAATGAGTCTTCTTGCCATAACTGAAAGTTCTTCAAAGGCAAAAACCATGTTTGAGATAATTTTATATCCCAACAATGAGTGGCATTTAAGATTCTCGGCAAATATTTGTTGTGTCAAAACTTATAATCGAGTCCATCAAGCATCACTGGAACATCTGTCCCCTTTGTACACAACACAGACCTAAAAGATGTAAGGGGGACCCAAGTATGCAGTGATCCAGGGTAAACCCTGGAAGTTGATGTATTCGAATAAATCCCCTGCCTACCACTTCTTTTTCTTTCTTATTCTTGGTTGTGGTTTCCTGAAATAAAACAGAAAAATTTCCAATTGTTGGAAAGTTCTGCTTGGTTGAGAGGTATTGCTACTATTATTATTCAATCAAATTATTGTTATTCAAACAAAGCCCAAAGCAAGTAGAAAATGATGCCTGTTGCACTTTCAAATATTGCTTTAATCCTATTTTATGCAGGTTGCTTTCTGCGCAACCCCGCAAACCCTCAATCAGCCTATCTCTGGAGTTTGCCCAGCCTTTGCCCCCAGCTAACCCTAGTGTGGTCTCAGACCAATTTTCTAGCTGAGAGTGTTAAAGGCCATGGTTTAAGCCTGTCCACTCTTTCCTGACACAGGGTCCTCCATCCTCCCAGCATTCTCTCCTGCCACCTCCATAGCTGCAGAGCAGACACACACACTGACAGTCACCTACCTGCACCTCTTCATGCCACTGGCTTCCAACTCCACCCTCCCAGGCACCCACCTGGTCGCCTCTTCAGAGGTGCCCAACTGCCAGGATTCCAGCCCTGGCTCCCACCTCTGAGTAGCTCTACAGCTTTCTCTAAACTATGTAACCTTGTGATGCTGCAGTCTCTGCTTCTGTACAATGGGAATGCCAAGAGCAGCCAACTTCCTAGGATACTAGAAAGATCAAGTGAGGCTGGTGTGTGTGAAGTGCTTGAGGCATAGACTGCACGCGGTAATCCTGAGCAGCTGTTGTTATCGCAGCCCTCAGAGTCACTCGAAACTGTTCCACCTCGAGCAGCCACACTAGGAAATTCCCCCTCTGACCACAACTTTCCTTCTCTTCCCCTGCGGACAGACTTTTCACCTCAGGGATCCCCCAAGACTCCAGATTCCATATTCCCCCAGCCCCAGTGCTTTCACTGAAGAACCTCCTTCATGGCTCCACTTTAACACGGACCATTTTCCACTGGGTAGCCAGCACTCCCCACACCTGATCAGGCAGAAGCCTGTTATTTCCAGCAGAGGAGATAGAATGAATGACAGACGATGAAAGGGGGAAATGAGACAACTTAATCGAAGTGTTGTCAAGGTGGGAAGAGTCTCAACGGGCTTTTGTTTAAGATTCAATCCATTTTCATAGCTCTGGGTCCCAGGACACCTATTACCTTCTTCCTTAGAAGGAAATGCAGAAAGTTCTCAACTTGGAATGTGCATGAAAGTCTCCTGAAGCGGCCTTAAAATGTGCACAGGCTACTTCTGTCTCAAGACACATGGGTCCAGATTTAGAGTGGGGCCTGGACATGAATTTTACAAAGGAAAAGCATTGCTCTATACTGGATTCACAAACCCCGGCCCAAAGGCCACATCTGGCTCACTTCCTGTCTCTGTTAATAAAGTTTTATTGGAACACAGCCATGCTCACTCACTTGCAAAACCAAAACTATTTACCCAGAAAGTGCACTGGCCCCTGCATCAGACCAGCAAGAACAATTTGGTGATGAAATTAGGGTCCACTCAAAACAAACCAAAAAATGAAAAAACTGCTATTAGCCCCTTTCCCCCTAAAAAAAATCTGCTTTCAAAAGTGGCAGCGTGGGAGCTGCCTGACTAGCAAAACCAACAGACTACGCTACATGTCAGATTCGTTACCTCAGGATGGTGAGGGGCAGTGACAGGGAAGGTGCGCAAGGAGCCTCTGGGTGCTGGAGATGTGGATCTCGTGTGCACACGTGTACTCAAATTCATCAAACCATATGCGTAAGATTAGTGTACTTGACTGTATACTACACCTCACTTAAAAAAAAAATGTTTCTGATTGAATCAACTGACCAAACAAAAACCTTTTCAAGTCACCGTAAAAATTCTACCCATGATACAATCTGGCAATTGCACTTGTCAGTATCTTTACCCAAATAAGTTGAAAACTTATGTCTGCACACAGGTGTTTATAGCGCCTTTATTCATAATTGCCCAAAATAGGAAGCAGCTGAGATGGTCCTTCAGTAGATGAATGGACAAACTGTGGTGCATCTACACAATGGAATATTATCCAGTGCTAAAAAGAAATGAGCTATCAAGCCATTGGAAGATGTGGAGGAACTTTAAATACATATTACTAAGTGAAAGATGCCAGTCTAAAAAGCCTCTGTACTGTATGATTCCGACTATATGACATTTCTGGAAAAGGCAAAACTATGGAAACAGTAAAAAGGTCAGTGGTTGCCAGGGGTTGGGGGTTAGGGAGGATGAATAGGTGGAGCACAGAGGATTTTTAGGGCACATCAAAAACCATAGAATGTACAACACCGAGAGCAACCTCTGATGTAAACTATGGACTTTAGTTAATAATAATATAATATATTGATTCATTGATTGTAACAAATTATAGCACCAATGCTAGATGTTAATAATAAGGGGAAATTTGGGATGGGGAGAGGCTTATGAGAACTGTATTTTTGCTCACTTTTTCTGTGAGCAAAAAATGGATATAGGTCAGGGCAGGGGTGCTCTGTCTAGACAGTACAAAGAGTAAAATTGGGGAAGACGATGTCCCATAGGCACGCATATCCTCTTTCCCACAAACTTCTAAGGCAGGTTTGATCGGTGTAGGGAGGTTGATTTAATGCTAAATTCAGCAGTGATCTAACAGTATCTTTAAAATTTGCCCTTTATTTAATTGTTGAACAGATGAGTAAACTCTACTCAGTTTGAAAACTGTACTCTGATTTTTAAGACTGTCTCCTGCTTGAATTCCTCATCAAACATCTTATTTTAAAGTCTCCATCATCTTTCAGACACTCTGGAAAGCGTTTAGCTTTTCCCTGAGGCAAGGTCTGAGTATCTTTCCTCCCAGGTTTACTCTGGCACTAAAAAAAACAAAAATAAAAACAAAAAAAAAAAGCACCTGTGTCCTGGCTGGTGTGGCTCACTGGATTGAGTGCCGGCCAGTGAACTAAAGGATTGCCGGTTCAATTCCCAGTCAGGGCACATGCCTGGGTTGCAGGCCAGGTCCCCAGTAGAGGGCGTGTGAGAGGCAACCACACATTGGTGTTTCTTTCCCTCCCTCCCTTCCCCTCTCTCTAAAAATAAAAAAAAAACCTTTTTTTTAAAAAGGTCTGCGATGACGTCTAGAATTTGCTTTAAGATAATTCAAACGTGGGGAGTGGATGGGCAAAGATGAAACAGGATGGCCATATGCTGATCACCACTGAA